CCGACGAAAACCCTATCGTAAGAATTCCAATTGCAGAATATCCTGTTAATCACGGAATAAATCAAATTTTTGTAAGTTCGGTACAACATTCTCCAGCCATACCTAAAATAACAGTTTTTTTTGAATATCGAAAACGAATCCATGTACAAATTTCTGAGTATAATTTCGAAAATGATGTGGTAAGATTTATAGAAGAATACGTATCGCCAGATGCTGTATATCGCATGTATTTCGAAAGTCCCAACATACACGAAAATTTTTGTAATATATTACATAAAAACTTTAAATGACCTTTTAATAAATTGAAAAAATGTAACCAAAAATTACTGGATAAAGACGACATAAAAGGAATCATACAAAACTACCACGAGGGTAAATCCAACAACCGTGGAATAGACGAAACAGTTATTAAAATCAAAGAAAAATATTATTGGCCAAGGTTAAAAGATTCTGTGCAATCATACATTAACGATTACGAAATTTATCAAAAAAGTAAATATGAATGCAACCCCTTGCATATAAAAATGAATGTAACCCCTACAGCCACAATACCCTTCGAAATTGTTCATATAGGCACATTTACATTCGAAAAATCTAAATTGTTTACTATAACTGATGGCTTCTTAAAATATGCACAAGCTTATCCAATAGATTCTCTAAACTCCACTGAAATTGCTGACAACTTAATTAATTTATATTCGCATCATGGAACCCCCTATAAATCACCGTAGATAATGGTACAGAGTTTAAAAATTCTATAATTTGTGAACTTTTAGCACTACATAAAGTAAATATTCATTTTTGCTCACCAAATCACCCTTAATCAAATGGAATGATTGAGAGACTACATTCCACTCTAATTGAACATCTCCGACTACTTAACAAACAAGGGTTTTTAAATACCCCCGCAAAACTAAAAATGACATACGCAATCGTAGCTTATAACAACTCGATTCACTCTTCAACCAAATTAAAACCTATTGATGTATTGCAAGGACACGTAAGTAGTAATGACCCTTTTAGAATCGAAATTGATAAAATGTTATTAAATAATTACATTGATAATCATAGGACCCAAAATTTTGTATTCCAAAATTAATCAAGATCTGATAAATCGCAAAGATAAAATTATTAAAAAGGTCAATAAAAATCGCGAAGAACCCGATATGTTTGCTCCTCAACAAAAGATTTTTGAAAAAAATATTGACAGACGAAAAAACGCTAATAAATTTAAAAAACCGGTAACTTTAAAAGTAGTTAGAAATACTAAGAAAACAGTAGGTACTCATACACAAGACAAAATTCACAAGAATAATCTAAAACGCCCCCATAAAAAACACGTATGATTTTAAAACTAAACAAACTTAATTTTCTTTAGATATTTTGGAACTCTCGGAGCCTTAACCAAAATTACAATGAAAAGTCTGAAAAATAACGTTGGACTCATACCCGTCAAATTAGGAACAGCTAAAATAAAAGAAAGTTATTTTAATCTAATTCATTATTGTGACCTAAAGCCGATAATTGTGGCAATTGATAAATTGAAAAATCATTCAAGGGATCTAAAAACTCATGCCTTAAAAACATATATTATTCAAGCGACATTGCAAATTACTTAAAAATATTAGCATTCACCGAAAAAAAAGTTGAAACTAGTTGAAATTTTACCCCCTTTTTCAACTCGTAAGACAAAAAGGGGACTCATTAATGGACTAGGATATATATTCAAAGCTATATCAGGTAACTTAGACTCCACTGATGGAGAACGGTATGAACTGTTAATAAAACAACTCCAAGAAAATCAGGATAAGATGGCCGTAAACATAAAAAACCAAAATTTTTTGTCAATTTCACTAATAAATAAATTCAATTTAACCGTTAATCAAATAATACATAATGAGGAAATTTTAGAAGAAAAACTAGAAAGAATCGCTTCAGTTGTAGAAAAAGCTATCTAGTTAGGAAATACAATAATAATAAAAGATACCCTTATTCAAATTACTAATATGTTGAAAATAATTATTTCAATATTACAAGACATAGAAACATCTATATCATTCTCAAAACTTAATATTATGCACCCAACTATGATGAAAATTGCAGATTTCTTAAAGGAATTACAAAAGATTCAAAGAAATTAAAGGGCAGTCGATTACCACTTGATGTATCTTTAGAAAGTATTTTGTTATGAAAAACTGATAAAAATCGAGAGTTACGTATTTAACAACAAAACAACTTATATAATTAAAATTTCCTTAACGACTATTAAAAATTTTGATTATTACCATTTATATCCTGTACCAGTCGAGAAACAGGGTCAGTTAAAGGCAGTGATTCCAAAAAATAACTTCAATTACGCGTTTTGAGCAAGCCTTGCCATAAGCTACACCTAGCCACATCATATATTTGCGGCGAAGAAAGAAAATCCATGCGAAATAGCCCTCTTAAATATCCAAAACACGTCCACATGTCAGGCAAACACGAATCACAACAAAACAACCTCTGTTCGAAAGATTATATCGAACAAATCAATGGATAGCAATTTTCCCATCAAAGGAACCAATCACCCTCAAATGTCATGATCAAACAGAAGTCATTGAAGACATAGACAGTTATCTCATTCAAATTCCAGTGGGCTGTTCAGTGTCCACAAAACAGAAAAAAAACCGCAAATGAAGAAAACTTTCAAACTTCAAGTCAACCCATGTTGTTTCCCGAATTACAATTCCAAAATTCTGAATCGTCAAAATTAAATCTCAATCTTGAATTAAAAGAAGTCAACCTAGATGAACTACACCAAATTAAATCAAAATTCGTCGAAAATGAACCAATAACCAAGTTCCAAGAAGTGCGCTACACCTCCAGTATATGGACAATATTTATGTATTGTTTTTTGATTCTACTAACAGGAATTTTTGTTGTTAGAAAAATCTCAACCTATCGTAAGCCAGAAAATCAAGAATAAGTACCAGTAGACCATACCACCGTTCAACTCCCTCGCTAACTCTTTGGAGTTGAATCTTCGAGGGGAGGAATTATATCAGCCCTAGTAACAGATCCTGCAAATGTCGGCGTTATCCGAGTTACTAGTTTCTAGGAAACCGCTGATTAGGACTTTATTCATTTTATCTAGTTTTTACATTTTTAACATTATAGATACATTCATTATTCTTGTAGCACAGATCGTATAGTTGTAGATTTTTAACATAGAAAAATAATTAAATTTTTTAAAAAACTATCTTCAATTTCAAAGTTTATTTTTAGCGCATTGGCCAACGTGAAGAAGAGCCTTAAGAATCAGTCTTAGACTGTATAATTTTATTTTAACGTAATTATTAACATTTTGCTTAATAATTTATAATACCGATTGATAATAAAAATAATGTGTATTAATAACATTAATCTCAATGTTATTATAATGCAACATTTTGTGAGGCAAGATATAAGTTATTTTTCTGCTATCACTTTCCAAAGTAGGCTTTTGCAAATTCACAGAAAGTTGACTTTTTTCGCGAATTAATATAATTTGACAATGGCGCATTTGAATTAAATAAAATAAAGCTAATCGGTAAGTATTTTAAAATAAAATGTAGGCTAACTTAAAATATTTTAATTGACTTCCTAATAATTTAAATCATCGAAGAGTATTTTTCGTAAATAATTTAATCATAAATACACTTACAATATTATAACGAAAGAATGGGTAACTCATTTCTAATAAAATTTAATTATTTATTTTATTTTGGTGTGGTCGTAGAAAAAATCTTGTATATAATTCTAGCAGAAAGTTCTTTTGCAGTTTCGACAACTTCTTGTCTCAACATGTACAGGGTATGTTCCAGGTACATTTGTGACTGTTATAATATTTAAATATTTATACAAGTTATATACGTATAGTTTCCATAATTTAATTTATATACAAGAGTTCAATTTTTGAGAGTGGCTGTTGGAATTGTATATCAAAATTATATCTGTATATCAATACTTATTTCTATTGTAATAAAAATGAATATTATGATTCATGAATTGATAATGTTACTAAGAATTTAGTCGCAGGCATTATTCAACTTACTTTATTAATTTAATAAAATAAAATATTCATACTTCGGATATTAGTAAAAGTAAGAAATAAAAGTTTGTTCGTAAATTCACTGAATTTGTATTTAATAATAACTTCTAGAATTGTGAATTATCTGACATTCCACAAGGATTTGCTAAAATAGTTAATTTTTAACCACTACAATATAATTTAATTATGAACTTGATAGAAATAAAAAAAAATATGTAGACGTATTATCAAAAAAAAAAAAAAATACTCAGATATCACCATAATAAACAGTTCAGAGGCTACCGGTTATCAAACATCATAAAATATCAAAGGAAATCAACGTGAACAAACACAAATTATGACAACTTTTCTATTAATAAAATTATTATCCACTTGATGACACGCATCTCCTTGTTTCATTGATAACATTTTTACCTTTATTTAGTTTTAACAATAAAGAAAAATGCCAAAAAAGAAAAAAGTATTCACAACTTTCAGATGCTTATTTAATAAAATCATTAATCGTAGATAAATAATATTTGTTTGGTAAATAACTTTCCATTTGGCTGGAAATGTTTTGGGAAAGAAGAAAATGTAATTAAAGGGCAAGCATTTTTAAAATGTCTACGCAGTAGGGAGGTAGTACCAAGTGTGTGTAATAAGAAATTAAATATTTTAAATTTTTCAGTCATTTTACATCATTAACAAATATGGTGGATATATTTTTTTTATTGAACGGGCTATGGGGGAAAAAGATAGAGGTTGCAATTACAATTGTCATTAAATTATATTGTAATATTGATATATTGAATATTAAGGATGATAAGAGAATTTAAGAGACTAGAATACAAATAAAATTTATTTTAAATTAGAAAAAATCATTCAACAAAGTTTATGAATAAAAATCAAAATATTTAATTAAAATTAAGAAACAGAATAAACAATTTAGTACCTGGTAATGACGCCTTAAGTCCTGAGGGTGTAAAAGCTTCCAAAGTAAGAGGTGGTATTTCGAATTGTCCATAACAGCCTATTATTATGACTAGAAAACACAGCCACACGAGGTACATCACATTAAGTTTTACAAAGATCTACTAAACGCCGATAATCACATACAGTTCAATCTCGAATAAAATTCTCGATTTACTGACCTCGTGTTTGTCGTTTTATATCAGCGGCGGATCTGACTGGTCAAACATCTTTATAGAGTGATATAAATTTGGCAATTTTTAAAGTAAAAAAAAAATTCGTAGAATTTTAAACAAATAGATATAAAATAATTTCATTTATATATTTCATTTTAATCGTAATCTACTGGAAAATATAATTTATAGGTCATTTTATAATAAGTACTGCTATGTTTAACTAAAAAACAAGTAATCTTTTATCTGTACACACTAGGTCTGTTCGGGTTCTTTAAAATACATTGAAAACTATCAGAGGACTAGTTGACCAGTGGACAGTTTAATAGTTGTGTGCGACGTATACTTTATAATTGAACTGTTCCACTAGTTCTCGGACGGTTTGCATCGAGTTTTAAGGAAACCCGAACAAACCTAATAATATTTTATTCGGAAAAATAATTTCGCAAAATAGATTACGATCTTGGGTAGGGGAGCGCGGTGAGGGTCTGGACGACGGGAGGGTATGGACACTTCAAAATTTCCTGGTCATAATACACGTGCATTATCTGTGTAGCGTCAAAACATTTGATTTTTAGTCGAGTTAGTACTCGACTAGACGCCGTACGAATCACATTTCGCGTTTGACTTTAATAAACATTTTTTGATTTGGGAGTGTTGGGACCTATTATTTGTGTGCAAGAATATAAAGGATATTTTGATTCCAGCTTGTTATTAATTATTTATTTTGTGGCCACACCTTAAGGTAAGTCTATAGGTCATATTGATATATTGTTCATATTTGATTTAATAAACATTTTGTAATACAAATAATTTTTTGTCAATGTGTTCTTGAGGGAGGGTCAGGACAGTTGTCCAGACCGTCTCGTATGTGTCCAGAGGGTCCCACTTCTATCAATGGTTATGTGTTATTTTTCAGAAACATGCCTAGGAAGTACCGAAGGGTGACAGACAGATCTTTTCCTGCGGAAAATATGAAAAATGCCACAGAAGATGTTTTGTTGGGACGACTGTCTGTAAGACAGAGTGCAATTCAACATAATGTTCGAAAATCAACTTTAGCAGTTTATGTTTAGAAAAGCAGGGAAAGCGGAATAGAAAATGTAAAATTTTCTCCACAATATGTAACAACACAAGTGTTTTCAGATGAGTTAGAATCCGCAATGGCTAATTACCTTAGAAATTGCTCAAACATGTACCATGGCTTAACGCCTAAATCTACGAGACGGTTAGCTTACGAGTTTGCTAAAAAAAATAAAGTCAAAACCCCACCTGCATGGGAAAAAAATCATCAGGCTGGACGAGATTGGTTTACTGGCTTTTTATCCCGCCAGCCTAATTTATCTTTAAGAACGCCGGAAGCAACCAGTTTAGCTAGAATATCAAGCTTCAATCCAACCACTGTAGGTGACTTTCAGAACAAATTAGAATCTGTTTTAAAACGACACCAGTTTTTGGCATCTGATATTTATAATTTGGATGAAACTGGTGTTACTACAGTCCAGAAAGTACAAAAGATAATTGCGACAAAAGGGCAGCACCAAGTGGGTCAAGTTACCTCTCGGGAGAGGGGCGAGTTAGTAACACAAGTTGGAATCATTGCAGCAAACGGTACAACTCTGCCGCCAGTCTGGATATTCCCCCGAAAAAAATACGACCCACATAGAATGTTAAAAAATGTTCCTCCAGAATACGGTGCCATAAGCTTGGTGCATCAGAGCGGATGGATGACAAGTGACAATTTTCTTAAAGTTTTAGAACATTTTATTAAACACGTTCGATGTTCTGCTGAACATAATGTCGTTCTTATCATGGATAATCACGAATCGCACCTGTCAGTCGCTGGGATAGATTACTGTAAAGAAAATGGAATAATAATTTTAACGTTGCCTCCCCACACGTCTGATCATTTACAACCTTTAGATAAAGCAGTATTCGGACCTTTTAAGCGTTTCTTTAATCAGGGAGCTGACGAGTGGATGCTTTCTCATCCTGGACAAACCCTATCAATATACGACCTTCCAGCAATATGTTGTAAAGCATGGGACAGAGGTGCCACTCCAAGTAATATTAAATCTGGCTTTAGATGTACAGGGATATGGCCATTTGACAAGAACATATTTACTGAACAAGATTTCCTATGTTCTTATGTAACTGATAGACCTGTATCTACATCGGAACCAATGACATACCAGTTACGAATTTGTCACCAAAAGCTGCTTCCTCCGAAGAAGTTGAAGCTGAAGCTTTGTTATATCCAAAAGCGGGTCCATCTACTGCACCAGACGACGAAAGTTATGTTTCACCTTCAAAAATTTTGCCATATCCAAAAGCACCCCGAAGGAAGTCCCCTACTGTGGCTAATAGAGGTCCTTTCTGAAAAAAATCAATCATTGCTAGAGACACACCGGAACGAGATAATATTGCAAAAAAGAAAATGAAGATAACAAAGCCAAAGATTGATAAAAATAAAGTAAAACAGGTTAAGAAAAAGGTGTTTGTAGAATCATCTTCTTCAAGTGACGAAGAATTAAGTTATCAGGACTCATCCTCTGAATTGGAACCAGAGATTGAAGAAGAATCTGAAAACACTGAGAATCTTGAGGTCGGACATTTTCTAATTTGCAAAGTTTATGGTAAAAAGTCTGTAAGACAATTTGTAGCCAGAGTAGAAGAAGTAGTGTTTGGAGGCTACAATGTAAAGTTTTTAAAAAAACAGTTAGCCTACATCTTTCGTTCCGTTTAATGTGATATTGTAGTGCAGCTGCCAAATCCTATAGCTGATAGGAGCTCTAGATACAAAGACATGATTTATTTTAATCGGGATTTAACAGAATACAGTCTTTTTTAATAATATTAATCTGGATTTAACAATACAAATTTTTAAATTTTGATTTAATTGATTTTTTTTTACTTAAACTTGATTTAATATTTTTTACTGTTTCAAATATGTTCGAATGCTCAGAATTATTTATTTTTTGTATTATTCTATAATACCTTCCTAAGTTACTCATTATTGGTATGATTTTAATACAAATATAATGCTTATTTAGTACTAATATTATTAATTTATTTATGTCCATACCGTCCCCACCAGTGAGTAGGGTCTGGACACTCTGCATATAACCACTAAATGGGTTACTATATGTTTTAATATGATTGAATTTATTTGATTAATGCCTTAATTGTACAATACTAATGTATCAATTTATTAATGGGTCAATTCGTTTACTAAACACAATTTTAAAATTTTTAGATAAATTAAAAAAAAAGTGTCCAGACGCTCACCGCGCTCCCCTATAGATGTCAATTCTTCCCTAAAAATCTATTTTTCCAAAAAAAATTACTTCTCTTGAACGTGCATCTCGAAAAAGGTTAGGATTTCGAAAAATACAAAAGTTGTAACGAATTTAATAAGCTTTCATTTAGTATTAACCCTTTCGGCCCTAGTAGTGGCTGGCATATTCCATCATCAAATTGAAAGACTAGTTATCTGTAAACTGTTTAATTTAGTTACACTTTAATGCACTAGGTGGCATATTTAATATATGCAGTTTTCATTTCTATGCCCATAACTTTTATCTCATAGGAACGGCATAAGAAACAATCGGCAGGCTCACTTGCCGCTGATCGCATACAAATGTTATACTAAGAAAATTTGACCTTGGCGACGCCATTCGGGGGTCTTAGTCAGGGTCGGATTAAACCGTATTTAAAGATTTTGTAATAAAATAAGGTATTGATAGGCAGGATCGCATTAAAACAAAAAAGTAAAGATTTACATAAAATATATTTTAATTTAACTTATAAGAACAGCATTAAGAAAGACAATATGCTCTACAGATTGCGCCAAATAATTAGCTTGTTTTTATTAATGGTCTTAAAATTTCTATTAATATTTTTAAAGTGTAATAAAGGAGTAGCCTTAAATATAACTTAATAACATTATTTCTGGAAACCGGGGACAAGGAGCGTCAAATGTTATCTCGGAATTAATTAAATCTAAAAAAAAATTACAAACGCCGGATTTAGTGATATAATTCAAAATTTTGTTGAAAAATTATTTCAATTTTTGTTATTAAACATACAAAACTATTATTTGACATTTTTAAATTGCCAAAAATATCTTCATTTGCTTGTTTTGTATGCTTTATAATAACAATACATGGAGTTTGTATCCAAGTCTTCGTATGGTAAGGCATATTATGTACATACGTCGCAACTGTGAATTTTAAGACATTTTTTTATTAAAAATCCGCATATATAATAAAATTTTCTTAAAAAATATTAATATTTTGTGCATGCCATTCATTAATATGCTTGTTTATATTTACATTTTCGACAATATTGCCACCATTACACGCGATTTTGGAAAATGGCTCATCCTTACTAGTCCTACGAATTTCATGCACCCTTACAAGTAAAGCATCCCCACCTGTTTCGCAGTTTTCAGTTCCAGAATGTAATAAATTTAAACATTGCAATTTTTTGAAGGTTCTTTGAAATTGGACCGATGTAGGGTTTACACTGTTACCATCATAGGAAGGATAATTAATAGTTGCAGATTATTTATATTTATCAAGATTATAAAGCTTTTTTATTCGCAGAATAATTATTATCAAAATGAATATCAGAATTAAATTTTTGTTAAGCATTTCAATATTTGGGAACAACACAATTACGATTAATATTCACTTTTTTCAGAAAAAAAGTAATTCCTTACAAAAAGTTCTGCTTGTTGAAACAAATTGCAAGAAAAAGTTTCCTTTTAAAGTTATGAAGGAAAACTGTGTGAAAATCAATAGGTAATACAGATTTTTTTCTTTTGTCAATTTCAAGTTTCTTCATTTATTAAGACCATGTACACATGACCTAACATGTTAATGAGTAAACCTATTTTTTCGTCAAACAGAATTTTTTTATAATGACTTTTTCCTTAAAATAAAAATAAATATTTTTCCATTTTGTGAACTCCATACGGGAGATGTTTAAAATATAACATTTTACATAAGTAAATATAAATTGACGCTAAATTTTACGTGACGTTAACTAGGCACCCACCT